CTTTGACTGTAGATAGGGTCATAAATAAATAAATAAATAAATAAATAAATAAATAAATAGCAACATAAAAGAAATATGACTCCATTCCAATACATCTGTACTAGTGGATGATATTTTCTCTTCAGAAGTACTAATTTGTTAGCATTTATTTCTGCCTGTAGATAAACACTGTATTCTTATTCATTTTTATTATTTAAAAACAATAACCCTAAAATACTGTAGTAACTAAAACACACCTCATTTACCACACATGCAGCTGTGATAATAAACTGAAAGTCTTGAGTTAGGGAGTCATAGGTTGCTTAACACTAAAAATCTCAGGACAGTTTGACTGGTACATTAATCTACTGCCTCACTGAGTCTCCACCAAAAGGTCTGATGAAAGGAATATGAATTTCTTAAGAAAGCAAGGAACCTTGAGACCTTATAGAGCAGACGTCCCCAACCCTCGGTCCATGGCCGTTCCGTGGCCGGAGCCAGACTGGGCCGCAGAGACAGACCTCCCACCCCACCTCCCGCACGCACTCACCCTGCACACCTGATTTGTGCATGTGCACATGCTCCAGCGTGCCCGTGCAAGCACCACACCACTGTTTGCGCATGCACCTGAGCACCTGCACAAGCGCCACACTGCCATTTGCGCATGTGCATGAGCGCATACACCCCCACACAAATGTCGTGCCACTGTTTGCGCATGTGCACAAGCACAAAGGGTGCCCCGCTTTCCCCAGCCGGTCTGCAGGGCGAAAAAGGTTGAGGACCCCTGTTATTGAGCTTTGAAAGTTTCCTGTGAAATAAAAACTTTTCCTACAAATATGCTCCTAAGGGTTTGGTACAAATCTCCCTCAGATTTAATGGTCTTACTGTGGAAGTCAACAGATCTGGATTTCAAAGAGGGCATGAAATAACACAGGAAGCACTTAAGTCATTCAGTGAACAGGCCAATTTAAAATGTTCTGTCCATCTAGGCTTTGTCCATAAAATTATCCCATCTTTGTGTGACAACAAAACTGCCCAATTAGGTAGGGGAAGAAAAGACATTAATTGGGTGGGATTCAAAGACTTGGACACAAAGACACAAAAGCTGTATAAAAAGGAACAAACACATTATGCTCAAGGGCATACATAATATACCTATGCCATGCTATAAAAGTTTCAAAGTATTTCAGCTCTGAATATTTTGATTCAGTAGTTATACTATAACTACAAAATGCTTAATTCAGTACATAATATCCCACTTGCTCATTATCCTGCATTTATGTTACTGTTATGATAGTGAACAGCAATATTTCTGAACAAGAATCTTGAACAAGAATCTTGAAAACACTTGAAGATTGATATTAAACAATTTGATGTCTCTTTTCTGAAGTGCAGGAGACAATAATATTCAGAAACCTATTGAAACAGCCAATTGTAACATCTCTGCAACCATGAGGGCTTAAAACTATGATGCTGGAGAAATTCAGAAGTGTTATAGGATTCAGAAGATGACTACACAGCTGGTTTTCTTTTAAAATTTAATTACTAACTTTGTTCAGACCATTTGAAGTCAAATGAACTCCTGAAGAGGTCCTCTTCAGTTTTCTTCCAATATACCTTTCAAGCAAACATACATGGTGAACAGACAGAGAAGCCAGCACTGGGGAAGTCTCCTTAGACATGGTGAAACTTAGAAAGGCTCTGGACTTTCCCCAGCATCCTTGGCAGAAATACTTCCTACTCAGATTGATGGTCTCCTAATTAAATGACTGTGGGCAAGAGATAAAAAGAAAACTACAAATCCCATGAACTCCTACATGAATGAAATACTCAGGGATGCTTGAAAATATCTAGAAGGATAATGAAACTTTTCTTACCTACAGACCTTTGTCTATGCAAATGACAAAGGCAAATGACTCTATGTCCCTGAACATAGAGTCTTTTCCTTCCTTCCTTCCTTCCTTCCTTCCCTTCCTTACCTACCTACCTACCCTTAATTTATGAGATGATATGCTAGGCTGGGTCATTTTTCTTAATATTTCTTTTTTCCAATCCCTAAATCATTTGGTCTTCAAGAGTAGAAATACACTATGTATCCAACCATCCACTTTACAAACCAATTTTTCAACTTATTTTCAGATCTGTCTTTTAGTCCTTGCTGTCCAAATCTACAGAGGGTGAATTTTTACACCGAGATTGGGGAACCTGTGACCCTTCACAGTTTCAAAATCTATCAACACAGAACAGAATGGACAATAACAGTGGATTATGGGAACAATGGTTCAACAACATCTGAAGGGCAACTCTCCTGTTTCCTGGGTTTACAGGGACAGGATGCTGATTCTTCAGTGCTGGATCTGCTTTTCATTTCTTCTTTATCATATAACGACTAATTTATGTTAATAAGCAAAGTTACAAACCAGCTTAAAATATTGATGAAAGACAACAACACATTAAACATTCTATAATGAACTTCAGGACATTTTTGAGCACAAAACTCCTAATCAAAAAGATATTTCAAAAGAACTTTCACACCCCTCAGAGTAAGGAGATGGCAGCATATGATCTTTCAGCCACCCCCATTATCCCTTATCATTAGCTATGCTGGCTAGGGGTGATAAAAGTTGCAGTCAAAGAACATCTAGAAAGCTACAGTTTCCTGCTCCTGGTACAGTGGTTCCCAACTTTGGGTAACTCAGGTGTTCTTGAACTGCAATTCCCAGAAACCTCAGCCAACAAAGCTGGTGGTGAAGGCTTCTGGGAATTGTAATACAGGAACACCTGGAAGGTCTAGGAGAAAGCACTTATCCTGTTGGAAAACACCCACCAAGAATATCTTTATAAGCATTTTCATTTTCCATACTTTCAAGAGATTCTGGTAGAACACAGAAATGGAGACAAGATGTCCTAAGGTGTACACGACTCAAACAGTTTCTCAAAGACAGACTCCTTCTAAAAAGAGTTCCAAAGCATTTACGTGACTGGGTAGCTTCCAATGGAGGTTGACCAACTTTGCTTTTGAGCTTTATTTAGAGCACAGACTATCATTCTTTGAGAAAGTCAGTGCAATTAAGCAGCAACAATATTTTACATGAACTTGGGTGATGTTGGCTCAAATTCCAGCTGAGCAGAACTTGAAATACTTAGGACCTATTTTGGTTCTGTCTGGTTTACAGTGGATGTTGACTTAGAGAAAATCCATCCTGTCCCTTTTTAGAGCTATCCAACTCCTTTTTGGCACAGCAGTAGGGCTAGAGGCTTTTCTGCTGTGATTCAGAGGCTCCCAGTTAGCCCATTCTGTAACCTGTGATGATGGTTAGTCCATACCCAAAATAGAGCTGCGGCTGGTGTTATCTGAGGTGGCAACCCTGCAACGTATTTAGTGCATTGTGACAGTGAAAGGGGTAACAGAGAATCCTCCTCCTCTATTTTCATCTACTATACCCATTCTAATTATTAAAAAAATATATTTTCCTTATTGATGCAGCACTATTCTAGATAAACGAGATGCATTGGCAGTATTATGTGTACCATACTAGGTAGTCCATTGCTGTTTCGCTGTGTCACTTGTTTTAACCATAAAAAGGAGAGTCGCTGTGGCCTGTTGAATGACAGCCACAGGAAAGGGAAGGGGAAGGGGGCAAGAAGGGGCGTGTCATTACTGAAATAGCAACATATTAGAGAGATCCAAAGACTGATCTGGACCTGTCTTGTGGGAGAAAAAACACTGAGCAGAGTCAACAGAAGTGAGGGATAAAATAGATTGCACTAAATATAACAATCTTTTAAGTGCGAACTACACTGCTTCAACTTCCCTTGTCTGGACGCACCATTAGCTGCTAGAATTATAACTCACAACCTAGTCAAGCTGCTAGGAGATTCTTGGAGTTGAAGAAAGAAAGTAATTTTATCAGGCATTCTAAGTCATCACAGAGTTTCTGATTGGCTTTGGAGTAATAATTGCCTTTCATTCCCATCTTTAAGGTGGGGGAATGGGAGGAATCATTAGCTTAGTTATAAGGTTCTTCAGCAGATTACAAGCATTTGGTTCAAAAGTTCACAGCTTGAGCTGGTTGGGTTGTCTCAATGTATCCCCTGAAAACTTTTTTCCTTGGAAATTATGATTCAGATCAGAATTTATAGCCTTGGAGAGAAAAACAGTTTTCAAGCCTTCTCTTTGGAATAGCATATTTTGATATAAAGGCTAAGTTTCACCTGAGGTTACCTTTACACCATCAATTCCACATAAAAATACTGAGTCCTTAGCAAGGCTTCACAACTTAAGCTTGTGAATATTTTAATCAGACTTAAAAGCACTAGAAAGCATGTTACATACTATCTTCTACATAATAAATTCCAGTCCACACAACAGAAAAAGAATTTACTGTGAGCTGAGTCAGCAACTCAAGAATACAATTTCTGACTGGAGATTTACATCTGGATCTTACACAAGTATTTTTTTCCTACTTACAGTACAAATTTAGCTTAATGAAACCACAAAAACGCTTGTTATGCTCTTAAAATCTATTATAATGACATATGAATGTATAGTCTGTTCCATCAAACAAGACAGATTGTACTGTAACTTATGAGCAGTAAATAATTGCTCTTTGTATTCTACTTGACTTTTCTGAATGATTTTTACAATTAAAGAAATTTAACTGCAAACACGGAAGCTAAACAACTGCAAACACTGAACCTATGCTCATTCCTCTCTCCAGCTACCCCAGTCTTCCTACAGACATTCCACCCTCTCTCTGTCTTTGAACAGCTATGGGGAAAGTTTCAGAAATAACTACTCATGGATCCATGCCTCCAGCAAAAGAGCCAAATCATGAGATTATATCTAAACTAATCTTATCTTTACCACAAACATATGATCTTGTGTTGATTTGTTTTATACTTGCAGTTTTGCATTCATCAGCTGTTTTTTTTAATCTCCCGCCCTCCCAAGATGACTCTATAGATGTATCGGTCCACTAGATGGTGCTATGTTTCCCCAAACAAACAATCTCACTTACTTGCATTCTCTGTCTTCTAAATCAAAGTGAGGGTTGAAGTTGATCATAATTCGCTGGTATGGTTGAGGAGCTTGAATCAGCCATTCACATTTTTGGCTTGGATTATAACTATTAGGATACCCAGGAGAGGTGAGATATCCAGGTTCTACAATCTTAATATTTTCACCACATTTGTCTGCAATTAAAAAAACAAAAACAAAACAAACATAAATTATTTCACACACTTCAATTGTTCTAACATCTGTATATGATATATCATTCAACAATTCACCTTTCATTGGCTCTGCCTTTTTAGTTCAGTGTTTGAAACAACTTATTTTTGTAAACGTATTTAAAAAGGCATGTTTACCAAAAAGCAAAAGAAAACAAACAACACCTCCTCCAAAAAAACCAAAGCCTCCTTTTTGTTGTAAAAAACACTGAATATACAGGCATCAGTTCCTCGCAGTCATTACCTCTTCTTTTATATCACAGACAGATAAAAACTGGGTCTAAGTAGAAGCGTTTGTTACTGTATAGCATTCTTATAAAGGCTGACAGTGTCTGAGGGTAACGCAAAACAATTATCACAGGAAACTATAATGTTATTAAGTAACAAGTTGTATATGAGGAGTGACTCAAAGAGGTTGGCTGTCTGATCCTTATCATTAGCTTTTTGACGCTAAGCCTGTTCTGTGTCATTAGACAGCAAATGCCTGTTTTCCTAGACTCCTGCTTGCTTACAGCAGCCTTTTCCTTTTGCCTTATCAGATCCCAAATCTAAGCAATTTGAAGTTATCTGTGCTCTTCAAGTCCAGACTACCCAGGAACAAAGTCTGTTTGTTGAAGCAGCAATGATTCAGTTCCCTTCTTTGAGGAAGTCTTCCTTCCCCATTGCTCTGCTTGGAGATCAGAAAAGAGCAACGGAGCAGAAAGCAAACCAAACCAACAAAAAGTTAGTTTGAATGACAAAACTGTCCCCCCACTTTCCCAGCTGATAGGACTCATTTCTTAAGAAAGATCTGGTTGCTCATCTCATGAGTCCATGTTACGGTTAATTATAAGGGACTGATGAAATAAGGGGGGGGGGAGAGAAGTGAAAGGTAAAGCAACTCAACCTCTAAGTTATTTGTTCCAGTGTTCTATGCAGATTTGCACTGTCACTTTTAATTACTATTTACTTCTTTCTCATTATACAGCTTCAGCCAATGAAACTTTCCTCAAATGTTTTCCACTCACAGCAGATGGGCAGGCAGACATTAATAAAGGAGGTACTAGCATGTATCACATTTTCTCAGTAATGACACATCCAAGTTGCCATTCTGAATCTAATAGAATCACTAGTGAAATGAAAACGACATTACTCCTTCTCAGCACAAAGTTGTAAGTGTGCAGAAATTTATTACAAGAAAACCAGGTCAAATGGAAATGAAAGATAAAAGTGCACATCAAAAATGCATAAACTAAAGCCATTACAGAAAACATTTACCATAAATTAGAAGACAATGAGATGGCACACACTACAGTGTGTTTTGTTCAATGACTTATTGTTTCTGAGTTTGTTGTAAGCCACGATTTATCTGTGCCTTGACAGTTTTGCATAGCGGGTCTGTTTTCCAAGAACAAAAGATATGGCACGGAAGAGTTCACAACCTGCAGCCTGTAAGCCCCTTGCATGTGGTTTCAGAAACAGATCTTGCATGGCTTGGCCCTGTGCAGCAGACTCCAGGGAAGCCATCCTGCCTCATTAAGCCCACTCTAGTTCTAGGCAAACAACAAGGCAGACCCTGGCATCTGTAAAGTGAGTGAAACAAACCAGTGCTGTTGCAAGTCACTTCACAGAGTGACTCCAGGAGATGTTTAGATCGGATCTCACTACCAGCGCTTTAATCCGTAACTCCCCTGGGAAAGTGAGAGCATAATAAGATAATATGGGGAGCTGCTAGCCTCCCCAGCTCTGTGAAACCTCTCTCACACTTGATTAAGAGAATCAGTTTCTAACTGCTTTTGACCAGTATTTCTCAATAAGGTTAATGGATTCATTGAGCAGATATGAGTACTGAACATAGGTAGGTGTGGCATGAATGGGTCTCCTAAGCAGCAAAAGAGGGGAATAACCGTTTTGATTCTCGCAGTGTTGTTATAGTGTGTCTATATCTGTTCCGTCTCAGTGACAGCTTCATAGTTTCTTCTTCACAGCACTTCTTAAGTCAGCACTTGAGGGAAGGATATTGCTCATAACAGCACAAAGGCACTGACTATGTCTCATTCCACTTTATACCTTCATTTTACTGGTTCTTATTTATGTGTCTTCATTCATTCAACACTGCCCATGAATCAATAAAGAAATACAGTATGATCCTGTTCTTTTCAGGTTGAAATCCCTGGTTGTTAGTCACACTGTTCAAAAAGGTTAGGCCAAACTAGAATTCAGGTATGATTCTAAAGGATTTATACTTTCCTAAAGGGTCTTCCCCTGCCCAGCCCATGATGATCACAAAAGTAAGATGAACTTACTCTTTGCTAAATTAGTCAATTTCTTCAAAATACACTGGAAAAAAAGATTTACTTCCAGAATAAAGCTGTATTAAATCTCTCCCTCTAAAGATACTCCACTTGTGGCCTCTGATTAAAACAATACATTATTCTAAGTGGAGGCTTCTTCCCTACTTTTAATTGCTTTGACTGAAAACCTAGCCAAACTAAAAGTAAATGTCTGGTAATTAGCTACAGTAATAACCATTTTCCAGGATTTTTCATACAGTACATGGAAATTAAATGTAAATTAAACCCAACAACAAGACATGTTTAAAACCTGTGTAATTTAGCAAGATATTCTGGATGCCATAGCAGTGGTAATTGTGGAAAGTTTTCATTGTTTTGAAGGTGCTCTCAAGTCCTGCTTCAGGCCAAGATCTACAGTCACTTTATACCTGAAAAGGACTCTATGTCAATAGCATCTTAGGTCCCTTGAACAGGCAGTGTAAACACTCTGTGAGCATAACCGCTTTTATTTTGATGCATATATTTCCAAGGGGAAACAACTGGGGAAGGTATATATAGTCACAAAAATGATTTGAATATACTTGCTCAATCCCCACCCCTCAGGAAAAAAAAAGTATTGTCTTTGAAGTACTCATTATCCATCCAGTTTTAAAAGAGAATCTTGTGTAATTGCCAAGGGGAAGAAGTATTCAAGTAACTGGCTAGCCTGATCTTGTGAGAGCCACAAGATCTTTGTTATACTATATTATATATTAATATGGAACATAGGAGATTAAAGACACTTGCGAAATCCTGTTGTGTGCGGTGAGTTACAGTTAGAGTAGGCCCACCGAATCAGTAGAACTTATGGAGGCAGCTGACTCATTGAATCCATGCTGTTTCAATTGGCCTACTCTAATTGCAGCTTACTATGCTAAGCAACAGGATTTCAGCCAGTGTGTGATGACTTGAGTGTAGCTGTGATTGACAAGCCAGGGTTTTTAAGTTCCTCTCTATTTTTTAAAAAAAGTTTCTTGGTTTACAGTCTGAAGCCTGCTGACTGATATTCTGCTGCTTGAACGATCAGGAACTCAATACTGGGCCCTTCTTGCAGTTACCTGGATACACCTGAAAAACCACACTGTGTGACTTACCACTCTTCAAAGCCCTGCCAAGGGTGAAGGTGAGGGCTAGGTAATGCAGAAGGACTCCCCAGTCCATCTTCCTTTTTCTGTTCAGAAGGAATGAAGAAGAAGAAGAAAATATCCTGCAAGATGGTACACAATTCCTCTTTAGATCTTAAATCCTATTGATAGGGCCAATGGAAAAGATCAGAAAATCTGGCTTAGTTGCACAGCGGCGGCAGCAGCAGCAACAAGAGTCCCTCCGGTGGGCGAGCAGGAGAAGCTTCTCTTTTTCTCTGATGTGTGTAGGAACCTCCTCAAGTCTCCTGCATCCTGTCATTTAGCTCCGGTTTCCTCTGCCTTTTCCCACACTTGTTCCCTTTCCAGGCGTCACTGCCTTTGCCATTTCCAAACAGACTTTAAAAAAAAGAAGAGAGAGATGGAAAAAACTAACAAGGAAGTCACCGTGGAGGGGAGAAAGGGAAGGGGGAGAAATCCTTTGCAGCTTTCTTCTCCGAGCGTGATGGCACGGGGGGGAAAAAGTCACCCAGGGAAAAGACGGTCTCACCGAGAAGAGATGGGTGCCTGTTGGTTGCACGCAGGAAAAGCGGAAAGCAACGAAGAGGAGGAAGGAGGAGGGAGCGACTTTCCCCCCAACTTCATCGCCTCCCTCCTGTCCCCTCTTGCCCTCTTCACCTCTCGATTTCACTCGCTTCTCACGGAAGGAGGGCCGTGGGCACCGTCGTCGTCCTCATCCGGAGCGATCCCGTGTTTGGAGGCAAATCAGAGATGTGCGTGCGGATGCTTTGCTCCCAGCGCTTCTTTCCTCGCCCGCTCGCTCTTGACCCCCCGATACGGCTTGTGCGCCTTGCAAAGCGGCGGCGAGTCCACTCCGCGTCTCCCTCCCTTTCCTCTCCCTCCACGGTGCTTAAGCGTGGATGGGACCCACGGGCAGACCTCGCCCCTGTCGGCGGTAATCCAGGCGGCGGACGGTGGTGCTGGTGGTTGACGGCTGTTGGCGGGAGCGAAGGGAGTAGATCGCGCTACCAAACAGCCAGGCAGGCTCCTTTTCCTGCAGCCTGAGGAGGAGAAGCGCAACTCAGTGCC